ACAGTTGGTTTGAAGAGTTAGGAATATTCCTTAGAAGGCTGAGCCCACTATAGAATGGTTAAAAGAGAGGAAATACAGGTTTTATCTCCAGTACCAGGGCTGGATTTGCTGTCTTTATGCCAGACCTGCTGTATGGGGCTGAGCAAGTTTCTTCTTCTCTTTGATCTGCATATTGGAAATGGTGCCCTTTGTAGGAGCTGTAGTCCAAACTGGCATTCACTTGGGATCTAGTGATGCAGCATGAATGTCCAGGAAGCTTCATTACTCTGAAGCTTCACCTAAAAAATGCAGGCCCATCTGTAGGTAGCGGACAAAGCCACTGTTCTCTTCCCTCTGTCCTAACTTCTGCTCTTGCAGATTGGCCCTGCCCGTTTCCGAGCCCCAGAGCTCCTGTTCCGGCCGGACCTGATAGGGGAGGAATGTGAAGGACTTCATGAAGTGCTTGTTTTTGCCATTCAAAAGTCAGACATGGATCTGAGGCGAACACTGTTCTCCAACATCGTGCTGTCTGGAGGCTCCACACTTTTCAAAGGTTCCTGCCTCTTCTATTTCAGTGTGCTGTGACATACCTGATTTCCTGCTTCTTCTCATGGGAAACTGGGAAGATAACCCAGATCACCCAACTTGTCCTCTGGGGTGAGGGCTGTGTAAATTCTGCTCTCTCAGGACATTTACTTCCTAATTCTCTGAGTCCTAGTCATATCCTGCTGAGTATGCAAGACACCTGCCCTCATACATCACTTTCTGGGCTTGGAGAGCTTTTACTGTTTTCCTCCAATCAATGCCTGTGGAAGGACTGAACAGCTGTGTTCATTCCTGCTGCTGTAGCTCACAATATCTGAGATTAGATACCAAAAAGTACACTCTTCCACCTTCTAAGGTTTCTATAGGTCTCTGATATGTGAGAGTTCAATGGTTCTGTGTGAGAGTCAGCTATGTGTGTGCAGAAAGGTTTCAACCCATATCCTCAGGCCTCAGTTGGTACCCATTGACCTAAAGATACTCTCTGTCAGAACCCATCAGCCTGTTATCCACTGGTTGACATCTCCAAACAGATCCTGGTCTTCCCATTCAACTCCCTGTACAAATGAGCTGGACACAGGAGGAATGCCTAGGGAAGGAGGAGGTCCTAGCTAAAAACCTTGTTTACTTGACTCAGGTTGCTGCTGAGGAATAAAGCTCGTTGTGCCAGTGTTTGAAGTTTCAGTGGGACAAAATCCTGTTATGTCACTGGGTGTGTTCTGTGCCTCCCCAGACTGGACTCTTAGATGTGGAATGGGGTACTTGAATAGGACTACATAGGGCATGTGCACATTGTTAGTGGATGCAACTTGGGATTTTGCTGAGGTGCTCACATGACATGTTTTCTGTCTTGTGTAGGCTTTGGTGACAGGCTCTTGAGTGAAGTGAAGAAACTAGCTCCGAAGGACGTCAAAATAAGGGTAGGAACCATCTCTGTTGTGTTTGTCACTTACCAAGTGTGTTGTTCTGTGACCTTGAAAGAACCTTGCTCAGACTACATCTGCCATTTACTTCAGATCAGAAATGCCTTCCCTGAGACACTCACATGCCCAGCAGCATTTGCTGTTGTGATGAAAATCAGCTTGGTTTCATCACTGAGAAGAGAAGGTGGTTCCTCTGACATGACCCCTGTCCAGGATTCTGGATCAGAGTGGCTGTTTTGTGGGGACTGCCAGGTGTCTTTCTGTTGGGAAAGATCACATCTGTGTTTGTCAGGTGTTAGCTGGAGTGAAGTGTGGGCAATGTGCTAGGAGGAGCAAACGAGGTTGGGAAGGTACTGACTGATTTTCTCTTTCTCTCAGATATCAGCTCCTCAGGAGAGATTGTATTCCACGTGGATTGGGTATGTACTGCACAGCAACACATTTTACTATGAGATTAGGCTGGGGAAGCACAGCCCAGCAGCTCTCGTGTTGTTATCCCAGCTGGTGCTGTGTGTCAGGGGGGTTGTGTTGCTCAGCTGGGTGATGCTTGGCGTGTTCTTGAAGCATCAATCACCAGGTCATGTGGAGGGGGCAGGTGGTGCCAGGCTCTATAGCACTGGCACATTTGAGGATATTGGGAGAGACAGTGGCTGTCAGCCCATCTCTGCGGAGATACTATGAGAGTGCCCCCAGCATTTTACTTTAACCCATAACATGCCTATCTCTCCATAGTGGCTCTATCCTGGCCTCTCTGGACACCTTTAAGAAAATGTGGGTTTCGAAAAAGGAATATGAAGAAGATGGAGCTCGTGCCATCCACCGAAAAACCTTCTAGCCCTGGGACCTGTCCTCAGTCTCCTCCGAAGACTCACTTAAACTCGCTTTTCTGAGTCCGAGTGTCTGAGAGCTGCCTGTGTGTGTGTGTGTGCGCCAGCATGCCCCGATGTCACTGAGCAAAGACGACAGCAGCAGGAGGGTTGTATTAGTACTACTAACTTTTTTTTGTTTTCTTTTTTTAATGGTAAGGAGAAAATACCAATCAAAATTTCTCCAGAATGGCCCATTCCTTTTTCATTTCAGTCCCTTATTTTCTGTTTCACAGTCACATACGTCATTGTAAAATAAATAAGCAAAAACAAAGGGAACAGCTTATAGAAACTGCCTGGCAAGCCAGAAGGGAGCCAACCACTGCAGACTACTCATGCAGGCTTTAGTCAGCCTGACTGCAATGCCTGGATTGTCTGGAAACACATAGCTGAGGCCCCACAGCTACTTCCTTCTTCAGCAGTGTCTTCACCATCAGTAGGTTTTTGAAGTTGTTTTTAATATATTATTAAGAGAAAGCACATTCTCAACAGTTAAGTCCATTTGTCCCACTGTTTTGGTGCGTGAGTGTGTGTATGAGTGTGTAACTTCTTAGCCTGATGTGGGGTCTGCACCACAGCTGGAGAAGTTTGCAATAGGACTTAGTTTGTATTGCATGGAGTAGAACAAAGCAAATCTAATCAGCTGTCATTGTACTAGACGGTTATTCTCTCGTCCCTTGTTTTAAATACCTTTTCTCCTCTGGAAGCAAGTACCCTGGAATGGGTGTGAAGGCACTTGTGTGTTTCCCCTCAACCTGCCAAGATTTACAGTGCTGACTTCTTGTGTTCTTTGTAAGAGTCGAGGCTGTTTCCCTCCTTCCTGCTATGTCAGGGCAAAGGGAGCATGTATTCACAGCCAGGCGTAACTCTTGTGTACTTTATCCATTCTGGGGCAAAATAATAATTGGGAAGGTGCATTGTAATGTAAGAATTGTTTTATTTATTGAAATGTCTGAGCATCTCTCAAATACTGACCACAGCACCTGGGAATTACGCTTTGGGTCTTCTTTGAACACCTGTTGCCCAGCTGCCCGCTGCTCGATGTTCGCACTGCGCACAGCACCCACGCTTAGCGGAAAGGCCAGCCCTGCACCACCACCCCATCCCTGCTCCACAGGGACTCGCTGGTCTCTGGGAATGCACCAGGGGAGAGGACAGTAAAGTGCACTGGGAGGTTGGTGTGTAGCAGGTTTGTGAGCAGGAAGCTGTCCTGCTGGCTGTGTTCCGCTGCACTGCGGTGCCTTTCTGCTCACCTGGTGGCTGCTTTGCTTGTACTGCTCTAACAGCCCTGGGCAGCCTGCAGACCTGCTTGTGTTGGGGCATGCCACTGTTCCGGTTTTACCTGTGCATTATTCGGTGCTCTCTTTTTTTCCCATTAGTTTTCTGCAGAACGTGGCAGTAGCAATGGAGCTGGAGTTGCTTGGTGGCAGTTCCTCCCTGTTTCTCTCCTTTCTGTTCATTGCCACACATCACCTTGGGGTCACTCTCAGGTGCAGTCGGGGTAAGAGCTGGAGGATTGCCACAGAGGTGAGGGAAAGGCCAGTGCACTGCCCCAGCTGAGATGAATGTAAGCAGCAGCCATTGCCACTGCAGGGAACCACGTTCTTGGGGCTCACCCATGGGTTTGGAGAGGCTGTAGGTAGGTGGTCTCTCCCAGCTGAGGCCAGGCTGCTTGTTCCCCTCCCCCCAGTCAGAACAGACTGATTTTTAAGCAAGAACCTGTCAGAAAACAGCCATCAATGCTCAGCCTGCTGCTGGGAAACTGGTTCTGTTCTTGCTGGTTTGCTGCAGCACACAGAGGGGAATTGCAGCAAATTCCTCTTGGTTCCATTAGCGTGTGCCCCAGGCAGTGCCCTCCATCCCCCCAGCCCCTCCGCTGGCCTTGCAGCAGCAGTGCTCCATTTTGTAACCTGCAGTGACTGGGCAGGCCGGTGCTGTCTCCAATCTAGCGTTTGTTTGGTCTGCCTGACTGTTCCCTCGCACACTGTCCAAACCATGTTGCCTGGTGGTGCCCAGCATACTTAAATAAAGTCATTCATATACAACAGTCAAGCCTCCTGGCCTCCTCTTCCCACATTTGCAATTTTAAGGATATAATTTGTGTTCTCTTGCCTGTGAAGAATTGTTGCCAGCCAGACTCTGCAAGGAGACACCATCTTTGGTCCAGGATTGCATTCTTGGCCTGACTTTTGTAAGAAGAGATTCCTGGGCTGCAGCCATGGTGTCCAAATCTACTCTCCTTTACATGTGTTATCCCTGGGACTTTTGTCACTACAGACATGTGAAAGGCTGGAACACAGCAGCCTAGGCTGAGCAAGGGTGATGCAACTGCTCTTGTGAGAAGAGCTGGTTCCAGCCCAGGTGTTTGCAGAGAGAGCAGTGACTACAGCTGTGCTCACAGGGGGGGCCCTGGGAAGGTGGCACCATGTCCAGTGTACTATGACTGGTCCCATCATGTCCCCGGCAGCCACTGGTGTAGGAACAGGACAGACCTAACTCTGGGGCCTTCCAAAGCAGGAGGGGTAAGTGATGCTTCCTTTCAAAGGCAGGTGATCCCCTCTGCCCCCTGAAGAAACAGCCAAGACCCAGTGCAGTTCTGTGGAGAAGGAGCTGTCCCCTTGTCTCCACCCAGCCACAGCTGTGTCCCCACATCCAGCCGGTCAGGCTACAGCCACGAGCTGCAAGAAAATTATTAAGCGATTCAGAAAAAGATCATCTTTAATTTATGAAATGGAGAATCATTCTCAAACTTGGTTAGAAGTTGCACAAATAACTTATGATTGAACCATTAACAACTACAGCAGCCTCATGGCAGGAATGTCTTGGTCCAAGACAGAAGGCAGCCATGTCCTGAGGCAACATGGCAGGTTGGTGGGCTGAGACTCCAGAGGGAACCTGGCACTAAACAAAGAACATCCTTCAATGTTCAACAGCTTCCAAACACTGCCTGCAAAGCCCCCCTCCTTCAGCAGGCAGGTGCAGGCTTTGGCACATCCTCTCTGCCTGCCCACAAACACATCACAGGGATTGAGGAGTCACTCCCTTGCCTCAGGGACCCCCCTTTGGTGATTACCTGTTCATCTACTCAGCAGCCAGGTGAGTTGATCTAACTCAGGCACTGTTTCAAGTGCAGAGGAGCTGGGGTGTCTGCCCCTCCCCTTAGGGATGAAATCCCGACCCTGTGACTGGCCAGTATTGTGTCAGACAGGCTCCAAAGCACTGTGTCAAAGGCACAAAAGCAAGACCTGGTATCTCCAGGCTCTGCTTTCGTGCAAGAAGGGAGGGCGCCAGGCTGCCTCACCAGGTCACCTGGGGTTGCCCTGGGCAGGGAGGCACTTCCAGTGGCTGGAGTAGGGTTGGTTCCCTGACCTTGCCCAGAATGGGAGGGGCTCATGGTATAGCTGTGAGACAGCACTGAGTAGAAGGGGCTGTGGAGAGGAAAGGAGGAATAAACACATGCAATGGGATGCCCAGTGAAATGATACAGTTCAAGGCTCTGAACTCAGTTCAAGCCCAGCATCTTTCCCAGGCCAGCAACAACTCCCTCTACAAGGTCACAGGGGAGGAAACCTCAGCATAAAACAGCAAACACAGCAGATCCTGGCTGTGCAGGATATTGTCCCATGAACAACAAATGCTTAAGAGTGGATTTGGTCAAAGAACCATGGCACTGCAAGTGGGAAGGGTTGTACCAGTTACTGGGAAAGGCTTTAAAGGTCCTCTCATCCCTGCTCCTGTTTGGCAATCATTCCTTTTGTCCCTCAGGGGCCTCCTACTCCACTCCCTGCACGGCTGTAGTGATGAAGGACTCCCTGTGCAGTCTCCTCCTGCTCAGCTGGAGAGGCTGTGGCTCCTCAGAGCCATCCATGCCCAGCACAGAGAAATGCATTGGGGATGTGTCTGTTTCTAGAACATGCAACCCAGCACCTCTTCACTGGAGTAAGCACCTCTCTGCTCCCTGGGACAGGCTGGGATAAAATGCTCTTACTCCTGAGATCAAGCAATCTATCTCAGGCCCCTCACATGCTGAACCTCTCTGCCTTCCCCAGTGACTACCACCTGGAATGAGTAAACACTAGCATGACAGCATTTCACAGCTGAACCACGAATATCAGCCTCTCTAAGCCCATCATCCCTGCCCTCCAGCACCAGCCTGGAACCAGCAGCATCCTGGGAGCTCAGGCATCCTTAGATTGTTTTGATCTCTGGTGCTTGGCCTTGTGTCAGGCTCTGCCGCTGAGCCTTCACCACCTGCAGCCGCTTCCCATGCAGGCTGAACTGTGACCAGGTGAGGAGCTGCAGCAGGGCACATGTGATGGGCACAAAGACGAGGAGGTAAAAGCAGCCCTGGCGAAGAGTTGGCTCCAAGGCCACGGCAGACTCCAGCTTCGGCTGGGCACTCACCACGTTGTTCAGGGGGTCACGCTGGAAGATGTCGTAGCCTGGTGTCAGAGAAGAGTTTGTGAGAATGGGGCAGTGGGGATGGACCTATGTCCATTCTCTTTGAATGACCAGCCATGGAGATGCAGAGACCAGGCAAAGGTTAGCAACTGAAGAGCCCTCTGCACCCACCCAGGGCACAGCAAAAGGTGCCTGACACTGAACTCACAAGTTTGCCTTGTCCTGCTCCACTGCTTTCCCCAGGAGCATCCTTACCTGTGTATGCACAGAGCAGCCAGGTGCCGATCAGCGGGGCGAAGGTCTGGCCTGGCTTGGTGACCAGAGCCACCATCCCAAAGAGCAGGGCTGAGGCTGCCTGCTTCCTACGGTTCAGCACTAGGTCCTCGTCCACCAAATCAGTGACCACCAGGTTGAGTAACTTACAGGTCCCTTCTGTGAACACACGGTTGCTGCAGAACAACAGGCAAAGCATTGAACAGGGCTATCAAGAAATGACAGGAAAATGTGACAGATCAGAAAAAATTGCAAGGATGGAAAAGGCTTCCCCACACTTGAAATAAGAATTTCAGAAGCCCTGGTTACAGGAGAGGAACACCACTATCAGTAAGACTTTGTACCCTGCAGTGACACCTCAGATAAGTTCTAACCTGCCACACAGACAGGGCCTGGGGACAGGACACACTGGGCCTACGGCTCACAGGCACCTGCAGCACACACTAAGGGCTGCGAGGAGGACAGAAGCTCTCAGCAGCTGGCAAAGGCAGGTGCAGGCTGCCACCAGCCCTGCTGGTCTGTGACCTCCTGAACATCACTGCCTCCCCAACTCTGCAGCATGACAGCCTGTGGATTCTGCGGTGATCTGTCCCATGTGTTGTCAGAGCTGAAAAATCACACAGCTTATGTATGATCCTGTCCCCTGTTCCCTGCCTTCCACTCCTGTTCTTAAAACAGGGACAACTCATTGTGCTTCCCAGGAGGCAGAGGGCAGGGGAAGTGACTGCTGTTTGCCTACCTGGCAATGAAGATGCAGAGCAGATACACCTGATCAGGTCCTGCCAGGAGCATCACAACACTCAGAGCCAGCTTCAGGAAGAAGAGTCCTCGCACCACAGCGTAAACCCCACAGCGACGGCAGAGTGACAAGAAGTAGAGGTTGTTGAGATGGGGGGCAATGTAGGAAACACCTAAGCAGAGACAGAGGAACAAACAGCTTGATGGAGTTACACTTTCCACCATGTCCTCAGACATGATACCAAGGGAGACAGCAAGGTTGGTTATTGCCAGCAGGACAATACAGAGTAGCTCCCCCAACATATACAGAAGGTTGCAGCAGATTTATTCCATGGCTTTGTGGCACAGCACACACTTTCCTACAGAGGGAGACCTTCTTCCATCAACCTCATGGACAAGAAGGAAGAAAAGACTTGCCCAGTGTCATGCAGAGGCTGCAACTCAGCCCTGGTGCAGAAATGAGACAGACAGGACTGCCTGACTAGACCTGGCCTGCACACAACCCTCCCAGGATAACTCCAGGATCAATGTCCACATATCTGTGGCAACTTGGAAATGGTCCATATGCTGCAGAAGGAAAGGGATAAAATTCTGGGCTGTGTTCTCTGCTGCATCCTGGGAAAGGTATCTGCAGCCTCTAGTGCTCAGAGCAATACCTCTCTGGAGTTCTGGTGTCCAGCACACCAGGCTTGTCTACTAGAAAAGGCTCCAAGTTACTTCAGTGCCCAGGAAGGACAACTCAGAGGTCCCAAGGAAATATGTGGGGTGCATGCGTGACTGAATCTTACAGCCCAGAGTCCTGCATGTGAGCACACCTCTCCCCAGATGGAGTTCAGGAAGAGCAAACCCAGACTCGGGCCAGGTCCTACATTTGGCTCCTCCCTCCAGTCCCACCTGAAACTCACCAAGCAGGAAGGATCCAGTAGAGACAGAGATCTGGTCTGACAGCAGGTGCTCCAGGAACAGAGGGAAGAAGTTGCTGTTAAAATGGCAGTGAAAAACCTGTGAAGGCAGCATGCAGACAAGCTGGTCAGCAGGAACAGCAGTGAGAAAGAACAGAAAAAGCTAACAGCCCTCTGGGCTCTGTTGTCCTAGGAGCCCCATGCCAAAGAATCATGCAGGATAGGCCCGGAGTACTTCAGCAGAGCAAGACCTCGGCTGTGGCATTTCCAACACTGCTGGCTGAGACTGCAGAGCTGCAATGCCATCAGCCATGCCCACTGTGTGCCTGAAGTCAGCCCCACTGCCCAGCTGTACAGCACAGTGCTGCTGGGGCAGACAGGGCCAGGAGGTGATAGCAGTGACCACAAGGCTTTATGGGAGACAGTGGCATGGCAGGAGGGAGGAGGCAGCGGGCAGGAGGACATTGGTAAGGCAGCAAGGCTTGAACACAAAGATGCAGACCAGCATCGAGAGCCTGCCTGAGGGGAACCCAGGGATCCCCAGGGAGCCATGACTGGAGCACACAAAGCTGGGCAGGCTGCTGGCATTTGGTAATCATCACTGAAGAGGATGAAGAACAGAAATGGTAAAAGCCAGATGGAGATGGATCCAGCTGGACAGCAAGAACAGCGATTTGAGCCTCAGGAAAACGGAAGGGGAAAGGAGATTGTGATGACAGCCACGCCAGTGAACAGCACTCCTGAACTCAAGCCCTCTGTGAGCCAGGCCCTGTGCTTCTGCACCCCATATGGGCTGCACAGAGCTCAGTCAGCCCCCATAACCCAGTCTACACTGCAGAGAGAGGAAGGAGCACCCCACAGCTTGCTCAGGAAGTATCCTCAGCCACAAGGAGGGAGAGTGGCTACCAGCTGCTGAATCAGCCAGCATGTTCAGGAGGCTCCAAGAGCAAGTGGGTGGTGGAAACACCTTGGGCCTTCCTGGGAAACTCACATACTGCTGAATCACCCATCTCAAAAAGCCAAAGCCAGCACTCATCCTCTGAATTGCAGCACGTCACTCCTGTGCCTACCTGGACAAGATTCATGCAGACAAACCAGAGGAAGTTGCGATGCCGAGAGAGCTGCTGGAGATACTCTGCCAGGGTGATCCTCTTTTCCTGGGGGACGGAGAGTTTCTCAATGTACAGCCTAAACGAAAAGGAAGGATAAAAAGCAACCATAAATTCCTCACACTAAGACAGAGTCCCCAGGTCTCCCCATGTAGATGCAGAGCTGTCTCTAGTCAGCTCCCATCCCAACCTTTCATTTTACTGGACCAATCAAAACAGTGGAGTCTACACCAATGATTGCTTATTGCTAGTAAGAAGCACAGGCAACAGGTCTCTCAAAGAACATCCGTCTTCTTAACACAAAATTCACATTTCTGTCCAGAAATGCATTCTCCTCTTAGCAGTCATTCCACTATACATACATTCCTCTTCCAGGTCCCTGCAGTTAGCTCACCTGGCAGATCTCATCAGGATCTGCTGCTACTACAGCACAATGCTGGCAGCTCATAACAAGAGATGACAAGTGAGCCAGCCCGAGGAAGAAGCTGAACAGAGAAAACCAGCTTGGTGTGGCCTACCAATAGCCCAGCCACTATCAGGCAGCTGAAGTGAGTAACAGGGAGAAATATTCACTTGTTCAACTCTGTGTGGCATGGGCAGCAATGTGTTCTCATGCTCAAGCAGGAATGCTTTCATAAGCTGCTTCTGACACTTTACCACTCATGGGCCTCACTGAGTGCTCTAGACATGAACTCATTTCATGATCCAAACATGGGATGGCCATATAGCAGGTTAGGCCTCTTCCTCCAGTTTGGACTAGGGCTGACACAAGACAGTTTCTATCTTCAGAGGAGTCAGTGTGACAGCTGATCCTGAAAACTCTATCAGTAGATAAGAACCAGAGATAATTAACAATTTTTGCCTCATCCTGGATCTTCTCACACATTTAGTTTGTTGTGGATCTATGCCAGGCCTTTGTCTCTGCTGAGAATTTGTAACCCTTACTCTTTCAGGGTTGATTCCTGGTCCCATTTCGCTTTCCCATCGGCCTGAAACCTCTGGCGGAGCAGCTGCGTGGACAGGGTGAAACCAACAATGGAGCAGAGGGCCAGCAGGACGCAAAATATGCGGAAGGAAAAGAAGTCCTCCTTGTTCCACACTGCATAGGACATGAAGACAGACAGGGAGCCTATGGCACTGAAGAGGGAGCAGTAGAAGTTGAGGCTAGTCCTGTCTTTTGCTGAAACAGCCAGGTCTGCAAGCAAGGCATTGTGATGGAGGTCAACCATGGTGAGAAAGCTGTCATACATGCAAAGGCAAAGCAGGAACTGCAAACCAGGATGTGCCCAGGCAACCCAGAAAGCCAGGAAAGAAATGGCAAAGAGGGGGCCATTGTGGCTTAGTGCTCTGAGCCTCTTCAGAACTACTTCAGGGGAAGAAATCTCTGTTCCTGCCCTGTAACAGAAGAAAAGAAAAAATATTTTAGGTACCTGGACAAAACCCTGATCACATATTCCTCCTCTCCAAGGAAGTAATGTAAGTGGCATAGACACAAATACAGCTTTTGCTCTAGTAACAACCACCCACATCAGACACCTTCTCAGCTAATAGTGAATACACTGAAAATATGGGTTTAAGAAGGTCAAAAAGAAAAGGGATTTCTTTTTCTCCAGAGTATTTCTCTCCCTGATAGTGCTGTACTGTCTGCACTTTGCACAACGTAAATTATTTTCATGAGTTGTTACTAATTGCAGGAAGCCACACCATGATTTTCATTAAAATGTTGACGTAAATACATGAGAAATGCTAATGGCCAACAATACAGAGCTGTCTTGCCTCAGCTCTCATCCTATAGTTTGAAAACAACTGGTCTAAGGCATTCCACGTGGAAATAACTGTACTTTTCCCCCTTGTGCCTCCCAAACCATGTACAGACACTCTCTAACACCCCATTAAGAGGCTTGCTCATATAGCAGGGGCTTGAGATTTTAGATGCCCATATTTTAGGTTCTGCACCACTCATGACTGTTAAGGATTAGGGTCACATACATCCAATAGGTGTGTGTGACTTTCCTATGCAGTCAAGTACTGAAACAACATTTATGAGCACTGAACTTCAAAGATGCCATGAAAAGGAGGTATTTTAGAGTTCCATGCCAAATAAGCCATTCCCACGCCATCATTTTAAAGCTGCCAATTTGACATCATCTTCCCAGGAGACTAAACAACTTCCCAGACTCTTCTGGAAGCAGAACTTCACTTACTGCTGTGTGCTAAGGAACACTCGGTCACTCAGCCAGCCAAACAGAGGGTCATTGAGGCTGTTCCAGATCAGAAACACTGTCTAGGAAACAAAACAGAACATTGAAACAAACCACAGGACAGCACTGTTCTGTCACCAAAGTAAGCAGTGGTGAGCTGGCATGGTGAGCTACCAGCAGGAACTGCCCCGGCACAACTTCCTTGCCCCATCGTCACTGTATGACGTCCCCGTTTGGGGCAACTGGCAGTAAAGCCAGTGGTTTTCACTGCCTGTGAAACATTCTGACGTCCCCAGAGGAAAGGCAGTCTTAAGAACTAAGTCTCTGCATTTTCTGTCCCAGCTTGTTCTATTTTTACGTAAGTGGGAAAAACTGAAAAGCCCGAGTTAGCATTTGGAAGGCTCCCTTGCTCCCTCTCCAAAAGGGAACACTGCTGTTATAACTAACAGTTTTCACATTTCTAGCAAGGACCAGCCTTGCCTTCAGAGTTTCCTACTTAAAGAGTACAGAAGCTGATGGAAAACAACTAACCTCTCCTATCCAAAAGGACAGTTTATCAATCTTGTAAACGGAGACGAAGGTGTCCACATAGTACAGGAGGAACACATTGTGCAAAATGGAAACAAAGAGTGACAGAGACCCGTAGATCACTGCAGTGGGCAAATGGAAGAGACAAGCCAGCAGTCGCAGCCCCATGTTGGTGCAGTCAGTGTTCAGCTCCTTCGATCACCTCCATTTCAGGTGACATATCTTCTCCCAACACCTACTATGTCTTTGTTGAGGCCAATCCATTGTTGCTCCTGCAGGAGAGAAAAAAAAATAAAATAAAATGAAAATAGATTCATTTTTTTACATGAAGTAAGAGGTGAATCAAGCTAATTGGTAAATCTTTGTCTGCAGAGATCTGAATTCATATTGTTTTGAGGAGCTGCTCCAAAGTGGATTGGAGGGGATTTAAGAGAATAGAAGCTGTCTGCAGCTCTAAAGCTGTTTCATTAAGCTGAAGCCAGGCTGTGGGCTCCTGGGGATACGACTGCCTCCTCCTGAGCAACCTGCCCTGTCCTTTACCCTGTAATGTTCTTTGTTATCCAGCAAGTAGACGATTAATCCAGCTCTTTAAAGGCAAGGTCACAGGAGGAATCAAGCTAGATAGCAGCAAACAACAAAGCAGCCTTCAGAAAATACACCTAGTCACTGGTATCTTTAGGTACTAATGTAAATTTTTACCCAAATAAAAATGACAACAGCTGTGATGTAACTTCACATGTGCACAAGCTTTCCCCAGGCAGTCACAGCTGACTGCACCTGGGCTGGCTCAGATGGGAGTTATTTATAGTGAGCAATGTTGCTGCTTTGTGGCATAAAGAGACACGACCAGAACACAACTGCAGCAGGCATGCTGCCATCATGCAGTAAAAGTGACCAGAAGTGCCTTAACAGTTGTCTAGCTTGTCTTGGAGTGGCCTAAATCTTAGGACCATAGTCTGAAATAAAGATGCTTTGGCTGGACAGCAATATACACAGAAATAAAACACGCGGACACAGCAGCCTTAGACCAGAACAAGTTGCTCTATGTTCACAAGGGGCTGAGTGTGAAAGGAGGACTCCTCACACTTGCACTGACTGGAGCTCATGGCCAGGAGGTGGGGCCAGAAATGCTCCCTTGTGCTTTTCAGGCTGAGCTCTCTCTCACACTTAAGTTGCTACAGATCAAGGCAACACACAAAGCACTTATGTGAGACATAAGGGCTTCTTAAATCAGTAGAGGTCAGCTCCTCCACCCCATGCCATCATGAGAAGCCCTGTTCACAGTACACACACATAAAGGGTGACAACAAAGTTGTTATCTTAGCACTGTCAAAAGCAAGATGAAGGGCTGCATGTCACTCCTGTTTCAGCCCTCCAGGGCCTGCACTCACCCAACTCAGACACATCATGGGGGCCTTGCAATGTGGGATAAGACTGAACACAGAAGAAATAGGAACCTACATACCACACCAGCCCCTTGGGCTTGCAACACCAGCTGCAGCAAGTCCAAGCAGGAAATCAAGCGGAAGAATAGATGTCTGGGTATGAAACCTGATGAAATGCCAATCCCATACAGCATTTCCCTGAAGCCATGAGTCTGACCACTTCTAGACAAGATTAGAAAAGCAAAAATAACCATCTCCTCTGCCTAGGCCAAGGAATTCCTCATAACTAGTTCAGAAGGAGCAGGAATAGCATTTGTTCCAATCAATTACATCACTAGACTGAAACTGCACCTCAGTTCCATTCCCAGCCAAAGCACTAGACCTCAACTGGATCCAACTGCAGAGCCCTTGTGGAGCTCAGACACCACTCTGCATCCCTGCCAGGCCAAAACCCACGGCCAGAAAAAAGGAAGACACTGCTGGAAGGGAATTCAGCCAGACAATGAACCTTTATAGATGTAATTAAAAACAGACAAGCCTCAAGGGGAAATTTCATTTTGTATGGTCAGGAATTGGAAAGGAATCACAATGTGCAAAGACAAAGGTTAAGAAGAAGGGAGAGTTAAGGCAACTGTCCCAGAGGTAAGTCCTCTGTCTCTCACCAAAAGCCTTTTGTGGAGAACTGATTGAAGAGCAGATGAAGACACCAGACTGCTCAGCCCTCTCATGGAACTGTCAGGACACAAGAATTGGGAACACTCACTGTACCTAGCAGGAAGTCAGCTTAAAGCACCCAAAAATATTTCTTTACCTGGCTGGTAATAAACACCTGACATTTGCTATCAAAGGATATTAGAGAGCTGGGCAGCAGGTTCAAAGGATTAGATGAATTCATGGAAAACAGCTGTACACAAACAGCTACTAAAGGGAACAAGGCAGGGAAATCCCCTCTAGTTGCCTCAAGTCAATTGTGCAGCCTGGAGGTGGACAAGGGGAAAGGCCACAAATGGTGCCCAAACTCATGTGCTCTCCCCCTAAACAGCATCTCCTGCTGCCACCGTGGGGCAGGATATGGGGAAAGATGGGTCAACAGTGTGACCAACTAGGGTGATTCTTATCCTGGGCTTACCTCTGCTATCCAAAACCTGTGTGAAAGCAGAGCCCACTCAAGCCTTGGACTTAGTGCTGCACTTAATGCTGTCCCCATCCAAAAGTGTTTCACTGAGCACATGTTGCACAAACCACAGCTGTTGAAGTTCCCAGAGACACCTCATTTTGCCATATAAATGCTACAGCACTGTTCAAGGAGGGTGAAGTTCCACTTCCTTTCTTTCTGCCTCCATCATTACTCCCTCACAGATGTGCAACCTCTACAGCCAGCTGATATTTGCAAGTGATGTCACTTTTTCTATGATAGTCATTAGGTCATTTGATAGATATTTTTTCCCTCCTCATCTGTGCAGTTAAAAAGAAACAAATTACAGTTGTCTGTAAAAAGCAGATTTTACTTCTACACCCAAAGCACTGTGTTATTGCCACACTGGTATTTTCATAACCTTTTCCTTGGGATGGAGAATTACTCATGGAGTATGTCAGAACTTTTCAACATGAGGCTTTAAGAAATAATGGGAAAAGGAGCTGCAGGAGGGAATAGCTATCATTCATTCACACTGAATCTCTAACACAGTCATAAAGGAACAAGCTCATAAATTAAAAAGCAACGAGTCTTTATTTGAGAAACTTCCTCCTCCACATTTGACATCTGGCTCCGGCCAGTGACGTCCACAGATCTTATCTTCCTGAGGAGGATGTTGGAATACTGGCTACCAGGAAAGCACTGCTTTTGTTTGAGAGTGCTGGCATGCAGCTGTGTATGGAACACACCAGAGCTTGGGGCTCACACATCTGCTCTAACTTCCTAGCCAGCTCTTGGCTGGATCCATGAGTCCTCGTGTCCCATGGTGATTCGGCAATGCTTTGGCCTTACAACAAGGCTGAGCTCCAGCCTTCTACAGCTGAAGCCACTTGTACTGAGCCAGCAGCAGAGCCATACATGTGAGTCTTGGCTCAAGCCAGCCTTTTAAGCAGGGCCAGATGATTTTTATGTGCTGAAGTTACCACTCAGCAACTTGAAACAGCCATCTGCAGACCTGACTGCGGTATCAGGATGAGTCTTGTATTCATTCTTCCCTGTGTGGGTAATGCAGGCTGGAATATCCCAAAATAATACTTCAGGATATGTCTGTGCTTGCTTGAACTGACACTACACTGCCTCTGCTGCGTATCCTGGGTTTTGAGAGGCTTACTAACAGAGGGCCAAATGCACCTGCTCTGTATCTCTACAACTGCCACACAATAAACCCACCCAGCAGCTCAGGAAAAAACACCTGAGAGAAAACCCTACTTATAGACATTTGTCACTGCCAGACAGGACCAGGCTGCTGGCAGTCCAGTCCCATTCACAGGAAAGCTGGGCGGGAGCTGCACCTGTGAAAGAGTAGATGTCCTGTGACCTGTCCCAAAACACCTGGTGCTGGACCCACCAATTCCTCCCACAGCCTGCAAGTGACAGTCATGAACGTCTTTATCTGGTCAGGGTTACCCGTTAGTGATGAGCCCATTTTGGGGGCACTGACCAGGTTCTCCACATTCTCTTTCTCTCCCACACATTACCCCAGGACACCTCCACAACAGAAGATGTTTCAGTCCTCACCCCACGAAGCTACCCGGATTCTGGCTGAACTCTGTTAATAAAATGAGAAATCCCTCCATAGAGCTATGAATGAAACCAAAAGAGCCTCCACTTAAACAAGAAAATACCTCTCAAAATCCTATTTCTATTGCAGAAAAGCTCCTTCCTAGATACACACTTCACAAAATTTATGTTCCTCCGAGCCTGAACTTTGATCTTGTGCACCCTTTTAGAGATGAATATAGCTCCATGGCTCCCAGTTTCTCCACTCTAAACTTCTCCAGAAACTCTCCTAACACCCTCAGATAATCCCTTAGCAACAAGGACTCTTGAGGGAACACTAAACACAGTCCTGTGTGAAACGTGAACAAACACCCCAACAGCAGGCTCCCAGCAGCCTGGTATCTGATGGGTGAAAAAATGAAACCTTTGAAACCACCTGGATCAGGCATGGAAACATGACTGGAAGAGGTTATGAGGGCATTTCCCAGTACTGTTTACCAATTCAACAATCACTGATGACTGTGCATCATGAGGTTAAGTAATACCCTTACAATCAATCATGTGCTTCCGTCACTCCTGCTGAGTTCATACAAGCAAACACAACTGCCACACAGACAATTAACATCTTGAACCAGCTGGTAGCTTCAATGGAGCTGTGCTCCAGCTGAGCAATCTTGTTCAATCAGATCTCATTCCCTAATAAGAACACAAGGTTTGTCAATATAGAGGTAACTGGGCAGATCTCGAAGCCTTGGAACTTGCCAAGGCTCTTACCATAACAACATACAACATCCTGTGTCTAAAGAACTCATTGTTTTACAGTGTAAAGGAAGTGTGTTAGATGTATTAAATATTTGTTCCTGATCATTTGCTGTCTCTAATCCTGTAGTGGACCTCACAGCACTAGGATGGGAACCACTCTGGCCTCAAATTAAAAAAATACTAGAAGTAAATTTGAAATCATCATTGAAAACAAGCCCCAAGAGTTGATTCGAAGGAGCTATAGGAGAGGATTACTGCACACATACTGTCTGTTCTTCATTAAGACTTAACAGGAAACTCCAGGTGAGAAGCAACTTGCACCACTCTGCCAAGTGCAGCCGCCAGGAGTTTCTGCTAGACAGCTTCCCGAGAACAGGGAGTCCCCTCACCTATGCAGGGCTCCCAAAGGCACCGTCCCCTCCGCAGGGCCCCAGCTGCAGCCACACGCCACTGACCGGGTCACCAGCTGCAGCTGCTGACATCCCACCTGCAGGACAGGAGCGCAGGGAGCCTGCGAAGTCAGCCTGGGGATAGGGACACCGTGACTTTGGACATGCCCAAGTAGTGCTGCCATCCCCTGTGCCACATCCACGGGGATCCTCCGCGCTGAGAGAAGCCCTGGCAGAGGAAGGGGTGGCCGGGAAAAGGCACTGCCATCCTTCCCATCGGGTTCTCCAGAGGCATTGCCATCCTTCCCTGGTGGGCTCTTCCTCAGGCTCATGGCAGTGGTCTGAAGCCTGTCAGGTGAGGGGAAGGCGTAACAAGGACACCAGAGACCCGCGGCACTCCGGGAGAAGAGGGCAACGCCAGAGCCGCCTCTCCTTGCCGGGAGGCAGACCCCATCGGCTCCAGGACTGAGCCCCCCGCCCACGGGCACCGACACCAGGAGCGATGGCACCCCCCCCGGAACGAAGTGGGATCACCTACGATAACAGAGGGAAATATCCACCGGGGCTCTACCACTGTAAGGAAGGGGGATCCCTCTACCCCTCAGAGGCACCCCCCACACAGTAGGCACTCCCCTACTGTTTCTCCCACCCTGCCCGAAGCACATCACTGAGCGGGCGAGGAGTCCACCACCCCACCCCACCCCACTACACTACAGGCAGGAAGACAAACCGGAGCCAGCGATCAGGCGATGAGAGACGCCCGTCCGCCGCCTCGGCGCCTCCTACCTGCGTCCAGTCCCGGCGCTCCCCCGCCGCTTCACAGTCGTACGGCGCGGCCGCGCATGCGCACCCACCCAGCCCCGCCCCGCGGCCATCTTGCGCCCTGGCAAGTGAAGCCGCCAGCACCTCCCGGCAGCCATCGTGCGTGAGGGCATTCGGCTCCTTATTTGCATATCCCCGCCCCCAGCCGCACGGGCCCTTCTGGTCCTGCGCCACCTCTATGGTCCGTCCTCCTGTCGCCATGGAAACGCGGCCTGGCCGGGGACGCCAGCACTTGGAGACAGGGAATCATCGTGGAATCATCAATATTGCACGAGATCTTCAAGTTTATCCAGTCCACCCGCCAGCCCAGCTCCACCACTGTTGCCCCTAAGCCACTAAACCATCTCACCCAGTGCCAGATCGAGAGACTACTTGAAAACCTCCAGGATGGCAACTCCTCCACCACCTGAGCAACCAATTCCAATGCCTAATCACTCGAAGAGTGAAAAAAAAAAAATAAAAATATCTGTTATTTAATCTGAATCTCCACTGTCCCAGCTTGAGCCCATTTCTTCTCACTGTAGGCACGGTAGAAGAGACCAGCCTCTGCCTCTTCACAACCTCCTGTCAGGGTTTGTAAAGAACAGTGCGGTCCCCCCTGAGCCTCCTCTTCTCCAAAGATGTGCCAAGATGCAGAGTGACATCTTGCAGAAACAAAAATATATACATGGCTGCTTGGGTAGGTGGGGCAGTAATCCAGCAAATACGTCTCCAGTCTTAGTAATCAGCTACTTACATTTCTCTCCCGTGATTAATTTCTATTCATCCTGTGTATTTCAGAAAATAGGGACTATCCTTGTCCATTATAATTTAAGATCTCTCTGTGGCCTTTTCTTCCAAAGAAGCAATTCCTATATTCAGCATGTGCATCACCTTTCCTCTCTCATAGCAACAGTTGCTTCCATTCTCAAATTTCACCGGGGGAAATTTTACCACAAAAAATTGAGGCAAAAGCCAGTCACTATGTACAGAAAGATATTATTGCACCCTATTACTTTCCAATGTTGTTGCACATTAGACTTACTAGTAGCTTCTTAAGCAGGTAATTTTTATAAATTCCCAGAAGCCAGACAACTAATTGTAATCAACATGGTTTGTAATTAAAGAGTGATTTGTAGGTATTTAGCTTCATCTATTGAGATCAGAAAAGAAGAGCAAGGTATAAGGCACTAATCAAAGAATCATTTAGTTTGGAAAAGACCTGGAAGATCACAGAATCACTAAGCATCCCAAAGGAGCTGCACTGCTGCTCCTGCTGTGCTGGGTGATGATGAGCTGACGTCGCAGACGGCATCACCCATTTAAAACTCCTGTGGAGATTTCTGTCTGTAAAAGTCCAGCACAATACAGGTGCTTACAATAAGGTAGTGCTGATGGGAGCCACTGATATGGCTTCTTACTTGATTACAAGCTGGATGAGCTGTTACTACAAATACCAGCTTAGTTAGCACTACATGTGAATAAAAAGCTTGGGGGAAGTAAAACTAAGAGAAAATAAGAGGGTTTATGTCTATAGTCCTCAGTAGGGGGGTTCTTTTCTATGTTAGTTTCTTGCCTTAAAGGTTACAGTTCTTTAAGTCTTGCTGACTTGAGAAAGAACCAGAAGTTTTGGTAAGTGCTTTTGAGGCTTTTCTATGCTGGCTTTATGTACTGGTTTTAGCTGATTCTTTGTCTCTGTTCTGTATCCTTGTTCTCTGTCTGAGCATGTAAAGTAATTGCTGAAGGAATGAGTTTCCTGTTGCTGCCTTTAGGTATAAGGGCAAGTTCAGGCAAGTTTTGCAGCCCTGGCTACCACAGGAGAAACTTCTGTAAGGTGTAATGTGGTATCTTAAGGCATCTCTGTACTCTCTGTGTGTCCTTAAGGCACTTCAGTGAAAAAGAGCCTGTAGAAAGTAACCTGCTTTCTTATGATCAGGTTGTGCATCCTACTGTTTCTTGGTTAAGTGAAGGCATCCTCTTGGTTATCTTTTCTCTAAATGTGAGTATGTGTATGCCTAGCAAATGTGTCTGAATTCTGCACTTATAGACTGGGCTATTTTGTGATGTTGCTGCATTTATATGCTGCCTTAAATGTTTGCAATAGTAGAGCAGTGTACAACTGAGGTGTTTGGTATTTTGTCTGGCTTTTTAAAAACACAAATCTCTTTGGAGGTGGCATCCCTTTCCCATCTACTGTTTGATTATGTGGGTGCAAGTCCACCTATAGTAGCATAATTTGGTTGTGGTATTCATTTAGGCTAGTGGTCTACTCTGTAACATTCCTAGCACTACCTGCTTGTGAAAGATACTAATGTAAATAGGCATTGTTGTGTGATGAGAGGCTTTAAGCACTTTAATTTGGAAAAAAATACACAGAAAGGCCTTCGAGTGATTGTATTCCTGGAAACATAAGATTTTCTTTTGATTCCCATTTTAAAAAATCAATACTGTTATTTGTGAGCTATGTTCTGTATTGTCTAAAGACCATAACAGAAGGTAGTTGTTTTTGGTTTTTTTTTTTAAGTTATAGATCAGCAGATGCTGCAGTTGTCTGCCTTGGGGATGCAGTAAGAGTAGTATTCCTATGGGTAATTCTAGCTCAGCTGTTTGAACTTACACTAGAAATGCAGTGTGTGTTGCTGTTGTAACAGAAAACTCCCTTACATGCTAGAGGGGTAAGTCGTGTGTAATACAATCCCAAAGACTGGATAATGTTTCCTGCCCTGCTGTTTAGAGTGTTCATCACCTGGGAAGACTTAGTGCAAGTGTGTAAGATTATGCTTTTTATACTCCTGCAGATCTATCCTTGATGCAGGATATGTGGGAATGGGATCTAATTGTATTTAAAGAACCAACAGTTAAAATGCAAACAGTTTTCTGTGACACTGGTACTTGTCAACAGAGGAAACCCACTGTGGACACAAACTCCCTCTGGAGAACCAGGCTGTGTGACCAGTTAACTCCTTTGCAGGGTATCAGGAGACTCTCCTAAGAGCTCTTCAAGGACAAAGACTTGTAATAAAGTATCTGAGAGAGCAGAATGCTGTGGAAGTACAAAACATGTTGCTCTGCTATGCAAACTGTCTGTGTGTAAGATAAGAAAGTGCTGGTAGGTAACTGGAGCTGGGTGTGGGAATTAAGGCTGGAATTGAATGATTTGTCTTGGCGTGTATAAAGTAAACAATATATAACCAGGAGGAACCAGATAATTATGGAGTGTCTGAAGCAGCTCTTGCAGAGTAAAACCTTTCAGGGCCACCTGCACCATATCAGCAATACTATGTAAGGCTGAGATTGCCAAGGTAACCATATCGGACTTGTCAGGCTTAATGATAGATGTAGCAAAACTGAGGAAGAAATAATCTGGGTGGATTGGCTGTTTGGGAGGAGACTGGGGTAAGGGAAGCATAAATGTGCCAGAAAAAGTGGATCCTGAAATAAGAGAATAATACATAAAATGAGACAAAAGTGAGATTAGCTGACTGAAGGACTGCAGGCATCTGTGGATGATAGTGAAGCCTGAGGACCCAAGCCCACAGGAACGCTGAAGTGATGCTCCTTGAACAACCTGCTGGACTCTACATCAGGTCTATGTTGCAAAGAATTGTTGTGGGAGGGCAGAGCAAAGTGGGATAGATGTATATCCTGGTGCTAAGTGGTGTGGGAGGAAAGGGTGACTCAACAGCATCATGTGTGCTTTTTAAGGCTCAATTAGTAGCTTCATAGCTGTGTGCAAAGTGATCTAAATAGCCATGAGATGCTACTGGTGCATTAATGAGGTTGCTTAGTTGATTTATTGGTGTGCTTGATACAAGTTAGTGCCCTGATTCTGTTCTCTCAACACTGTCATGTGAAGAGGAATAGCTGGGCAGAAGTCACAGCTGGGGGCTCAACCAGGACCTCTTAATTTGGAAGCCTGAGCTAACTGATACTGAGATCTTTTCTTTGAAGAAGAGCATGTGTGGATGGAGATGATGGCCATCAGATGAACTCCTGAGTGACAGGAGGAGCAGGTCTGTGCAGACTGTTTTAACATGGAGGGGATTCTTGGGACTGAATGCTATGAAATACGTATTAAAATATGCTCAACTAAAGAAAAAAGAGTAGTGTCTAGATAGAGAGCTGTGTCTGGGAAAGGGTTTAAATGAGAAAAAACATAGCTAGGGTACTGAGACATGGGATGCAGGTTTGAACTTCAGGTGGAGGAAGGCATCTGATGCAAAGGGTACCTGCAGTGGTTGCTGGGAAGATGAGAATAGTGGTGGTGGAAGCTTTAATAACAAAGCTAGGCTAAGCCAAAAGGAGAATGTATCAGAAAGAGAAACTGTGGAGTATATCTAAAATGTATGCTCTGGTGCAGCAGACACATACCCAGGGAGAGGCTGAATAGGTGACAGTGTCAGGATCACCTTGGCAGCAGGCAGGGATGTTTTCTAGAGCCTTGCCTGCTGATGCAGTCATCCTATGGTAACACTCATCATGTTTTATTCTTGGTGGCACAGCTGTGTTATCCAGCAGCTGCAGTCAGAGCAGGAGTGGCTGCTCCAAACCTCTCTGTCACCAGCAAGTTGCGTTTTGGCTGCTATTTGAGCAGAGTTATGCAGGGGGATGGTTTCTGGATAGCTACTGTCAAGTAAAGATTTGCTCTGCAATGACTTGGCCTTTTCCTGGTGTTTTGATTTCATAGAGTCTGGGCTTTGTGCAGACCTCAGAAACAAGTGCCAGACCCAGAAGACTTCAGTGCTTTCTGGGAATGTTGCTTTGAATAACTGAAATGGATCTGCTCCCTCTTCAAAGGGCCTCTATAAGGGGTGACTGACTGTAATATGCAATAGCTGCTATTTCCACAGTTACCAGTGCCAGCTGGAGCTCTTTTCTTTGTGGTGCACTAGTAACAGCAGGGTGAGACTGGTGTCTGCTGGCTTCAGAAGTTAAATTCTCCCCTTTGGCTGAGCTGAAGGGATTGTTCATGGAGCTCTTGTATCAGCTGTGCTTGTGGTATCTTTCCAGTTGGCTTGGGCTGCTGTAAGAATTTGGGCAGTGAAGCAATTTCTGATAGAAAGGTCCCTCCTGTGGGGTGAGGGGAAACCAGGTCAGAGGCCCAGCATTGCTGGGGGAGTTCTTCAGACTGGGTTAGTGATGTGGGGAGACCTGTTTTCTACAGCATTGATTTGTATTGTTGTAAGTCACTACTGTCTGCTGGTACTAGCATGGAACTAGGCATGATGCAGTAACCTTTTGTGTAGTATTTAACAGTTCTTGGGGTGCTTTGCTGGGGCAGTATGGGTTGGTTTTCTCTTGGTGAGTGTAGCAAAATGTGGTGCTATTTTTGGGGGGTTTGGGGGGTAAATGGGCTTGTGTTAAAAATTCAAGTTTTTCCATTATTAAGCAGCACTAGCATGGGAATCTGATCCTCTAGAAAAAAACTGAGGCATGAGAAGGCCCAGCTTTTAAGGAGGTATTGCATTTTTATTTAATTCCTGTGTTGCTGCTGGGCATCCTATTTAGGAAGGCAGCCAAGTGCCTGCATCCTGAGGATCAGTACTGGTGATGGGAAAGTTATTGTGTTGTGTGGCTTTTTGTACCATTCTCCCACCTCTACAGCACTTGGGAGTCTTCTCCTGGGTGAATTTTACTGAAAAGACTTCAAACTAAGCTTGACCTTAAATTGGCAATAAAGGGATAGAAGTGACAAGGAAAAATGTGAAACTGCTTTGTCATGATCTTCTCCCACACGCTATCTCCAACTACCAGGATGCTGGATAAGTGTGTGGGACTGATACCAGAGTGATGGAAAACAAACCTTGGCTGAATAAAAACAATCAGTTTTAATATCTCACTTTAAGCAGTCCTTAAAGGTTTGAGGTTTTTGTTTGTTTGGTTTTGGTTTTATGTTTGTTGTTTTTTTTTTAAAAAAGCCAAAGCTTTGTCAGGTGGCAACAATTCTGCAGACTCTGCTCAAAATGAGGAGACTAACCGGAAATAACTCATTACTTCTTCATCTTCTTGGATGGGGGAAATTGGTGCTTTTGCAGTATTCATCCCTGTACAGTTGGGATTTGTTACAGAGCAATGGCAGGAGATCTGTGTTTTTTTGTGGGGTGGGGAGAGGAAGAGGTCAAGAAAAAAGCTAGAAAGAATAGTCTGAAATCTTGAGTGCTGGAACAGAGGAAAGGAAATAGGAACTTAATAGTATCTTCATTTGTGAGCTGATCACAGGGCTATGGAATGAGGGAAGAATAGCCTTGGCTGAGAGTTACAGTAAATTAGATGGCCATGGTCCTCTCCCATGGGCCCAGTGTCTCTACAGTTATGTTGGCTTGCAACATGTACCCTGAGGAAGTATCTAAACCCACCCCAAACTGCCAGCCTGGCCTGGGAACCCTGCTTTAGATGGACAGAAGACTTGATGAAACCAGTCTTTCCAGACATGTGAGATACTTGTATGAAGTTCCACATGTTGGGTATTGTGGCACACCTGTATGTTGCTATTGCCCATGATACAGTCATGTTCACTTTAATCTCTCTCCTACAAAATGTCTAGTCTGGCATGGAATTGAATATTTACACTTTTCTCTGTTTTCTGTAGCTCACAGTGGTCTCTTGTGTTCTACAAATACCTAAAAAGAAAGCTCACCAAATTCAAAGCTAGCCTAGGTGATAGTAAAGCTCTACTGCCCTGAGATGTTCAGAAAAAAACATGATATTCTGTATTTTTAGCAGTTAATTTGTGCTGCTTTAAATACTAGGAAAGTCCTACCAGACTTGGGCATTTCTGTTTTAACTAGTGGTGGATTTATCACCTGTAGTTACTGAGAGAGCTGAAACAAAAGCTTCTCTTATCAAATGTCTTTTCTACTTTTGTATTACAAACATTGCTTGGTTGCTCCGTAGCAACTGTGTGGGGCAGCTGGTGTGAAGCACACTTTGTTTGGCAGGCCTTTTTTGGGAGCTGTGGTGTCAGTCCCCTTGACCTGCACCAAGATGTTTGAGGAGGGAAAAGTGCTGCCAGGTGACTGGGGCAGTGGGTAAGGGAATTGCTGGAGTCAGCTCTGGCAAGCCTGGGAATAGTCTGCAGTATCATGTTCTCACTAAGCAGAAATTATGATCCTGTTAGTTTTCTGTGACCATCTTTGGAGTTTTCTCTCCTTTTTATTGTGCCTATGTGGTGCTTCATTCAGCTCCAGCCAAGTGGGATTAGAACCCTTTTCCAGCAAGGTCAAAATTGCTGGAAAAGCTTAAAAGGAGAGGCTGCCTTGTCTCTTGCTGTGGCCTTTCTCACTGCGTTGGTCCCTTGTTGCTCCCTGCTGCAACCACTGCTCTCAGTGCCCTGGCTTGGGGAGATTTGGCTCTCAGGCATTGCCTGCTGTCTGCCCATCCAGGCTTTCCATCTCTGCCACCAATACCTGGCATGTATTGATGGATGTCAGTGGCTCTCAGGAGCAGGCAAGCACTCAGCAGAGTTCAGCACAGGCTTTAAGGACTTCTTTGCCTGTTCCTGCTCAGGATATTCAAGTGCTGGGCAACAGATATGGTGATTTTTATTTTTTTTCCCCGCCAAGGTATAACAGAGCTTGAAAGTGGAACAATGGAGGATGGTAGTCTGAAGAGACAGATTAGCTAGGTTCCCTTCTCTCTTTCTGGTCCTGTAGTTGCTCCTGAAGAGTTGGAGGCTGTCAGACATTTACTTCTAAGTCCAGGCTGGCCTCCGGCTGCTGGCAGGAACAGGTGGATCATAGTATGGTTTGAGCTGGAAGGAACTTAAAGATCATACAGTTCCAACTTCTCTGCCATGGGAACGGGCACCTTTTACTAGACCTGAGTCCTCAGAACCCTATCATGCCTCACCAGGAATGCTTCCAGGGATAGGGCATCCACAGTTTCTCTGGGCAGCCTGTTCCAGTGCCTCACCACTCTCACAGTAAAGAATTTTAATTTTTAGTATTAGATTTGAATTTGCTCTCCCATCAGCTTGAAACCATTCCCCCTTCTCCTATCACTTCTTGGCCTTGTGAAAATTCCCTTTCCATCCTTCTTGGAGACCCCCTTTAGGTACTGAAAGGTGCTATAAGGTCTCCTTCAGAAAACGAGGGGGAGAAGAAACTGGGGATTGGACTCCTTCCTCGAGTGGCACCACTTGATGTTGGTGTTTGGAGTTGGTTTTCTTAAGTATCTTCTATTCTTAAGAAGGCTTTTGATGCCTTCCAGCCATCAGATGGCCTCACAAATGATCACCTTCTGGGCAAACCCCATTTTCCCTGAAGCAGTGTCTGCTTTTACTTCCTGGTAAGTGTGGGACAGGATTGAGCAAGCCAGTACTGGTGTTCTCAAAGCCCTCTTCTCCTATACACATGGATTTGACAGGCTGTAGCTCAGCCTGAAGGTCAGTATGAACAGGCAGCTGGGTAATGGTGGGGTAAACTGCATTGTCAGCCCCTGGGAGCACCAGGGTGCAGCTCTGCAGAGGCCTCCTGCACACCAAAACCTTGTTGCAACACACCTGAACATTCAGAGTAGTGCTGGGCACTACAAGCCAGGAGCTGGTGCTCAGTGCCCTGTGCAGGTAAGGCTGTGTCTGGGTAGTCTGAGAGCTCTGGGCTGGGGCATGCAGAGAGCTCTTCTTGTCAGGCAGGGACAGGGCAGCACCAGGCAGCTGTGCAGAGGAGCCTGGCAGAGGCCACCCGGTCAAGGCTTGCTCTGACAGGTTTGCAAACTTCCTCTGGGGCTGTGAAGTCTTATGTAGGATGTCAGCACATTCCTCCTGAGTGATCTGCTTCCAGGGAAATGTATTTACTTATGTGGTGGGGCATGTGACAATGCTGCCCTGAAGTGCTTCTAGCCCCACTTAATCCTCATCTTGTTCCCCCTTCTTATCTCTTCAGTTTGCTTCCTCTTGTGGGTCATCCTGCCTGGCTGAGCCACCAGCTTGTTCCCCTTATCTTCATCTGGTGTAAAATCAAAGCAATTGGTAGCTGTGCTCAGGCTGCCTTGTGATAAACCCCCAGTGATTTAGATGGCCTGTCAGTCCTCCTTGCAGCTGCCAGGAAGACCTGGGAGCAACAATGCTGACAACCAAAATGCAAGGTGCTACAGAAGCTTTTGAGCAAGAGCTGGTCATCAACTAAATGTGAACAGCTTCTCCAGGGTTGTCCTTAACTGGCATGGTGCAGCACACTGCCCCAGCAGAAGGGGTGTAAACTTGGCTTGCTTTATTCCAAATGATGGATGCAATAGCTGCACAATCTCTGTGCAGACCACTTGCTCTGAAATACAGGTAGTTCACAGAAGTGTGGATCTCAATAGGGATGCATGGATGAGCTATTTAAAGAGATGCTGAGACTAGCTTTCAAGATGAGACCATTTATTTCACATGCCCACCTCATGCTTCCATTGACATTCAACACCATTTTGCATTTTTGTGGTGGTTCTGAGCAAGTTAGGCAAGGTTAGGTTGTGAACTTAGTTTCATTTCCTCCTATCTGAGGGGGTGATGGTTGTGATGGGCTTTGCCTCCAAGGCTGCAAGTCTTGTTTAAGGGTGCTGCCTGGTCTTGACTGAATACTCCAGTGCTGTTCCCTGTATGGGGTGAAGGCTTCTAGCCCTGATCCCATGGCAGAATAGGTTTGAGCCAGATAGCGTACATTATGAACCTCTAGGAACTGGAGGAACTTGTGTTGGTTAAAAAGAAAAACCTCCATTTTGCAGTACTCAGCATTGCTTGTGTCAGGCAGCTCTTAGGGGACAGCTAAACTTCAATCTCTCTTTCCTGATCAACATCTGTGGGAGAGCCAACTCTAGTTAAGGCTGAAGCAAGAAGAGCCCACAGGATCTGAATCCATGAGAAAACAAATATCCAGTCTGTTGCCTTTAGTTCTGTGCATGGTCTTTTCCTGTCTCTGATAGCAGACTTTTTTTTTAATAAAAAGCAACCCTGTGCTATATACAGGTTTCTTTCCTGCCTAGGGGAGAGGATAATAAGTCATGGGAGGACATTGCTTTGTGCTCTGGAGGGTGCTTGGATATCTGGCAAGGGCAGACTAAGAGCAAATTCAGCTGTAGGTCAGAGTTGCTCAAGGTAAATACACACTTAAATGTGAATGGTAATTAGTGAGACCACAAAAAGAAACCTGTACATGAGAACTTGTCAGAGGAAATGTAGATGTGCCTGTATTTTGCTCTAGAAATAAACAGTTGGTGCAAGTCTAGTTTGCTTATCTGAGTAAAAGCAGGGCTTTGGGAGGATGGGGAGGGAGTCAAGGACAGTTGAAGATCTTATTTGTTTAAGGTTTCCTTGTCTGGGCAGGACGGCAGTTGACATGACTGAAGCAGGGTTGGGCTCTTTCCTTTCTTTGCCAGCTTGCTTTGTTTCTTTCCCTTGTGCCTGGCTTCCCCATTTTCATGCCTGCTCAAGGGCCTTCAGCTTCTTGCAGTGTCTTGCTGCTTCCCAGCACTGCAGACACAAGTCATGAGGAGATGAGGTTGACTCTTCTGCCCTCAGTGGTCTTTGTTAGATTGTTCTCATCTTTGCAACTCTGCGATGTGTGAGTTAAATGATGTCTTGCAGAACAGCTAACAGGTAGTCACTGGCAATGTGGCTCATTTGTTCTTGATAGGTTACTGCCACTACAAGCTGTGGTGAGCTCTTTGTATTAATTAGTTGGCATGCTTACAGTGCAAAGTGTATCTCCTCATTCAGCCTGAAATGTGTATAATCAATGTAGGTTATTTCTCTTCTCCCTTTGTCCTAACAGCTTTTGAGGCTCAGCAACTGCTCCAGAGAAGTTTCCTGTGTAAAACCCCAGGCTCCTGTGCAATGTACCAGTCCAGCTTTGTGCCACGGGAATATTACCCAGCCATGATCCTACCTTCTGCCTACACCTACCCACCGCTGCGGCGTGGGAGAGCAGAAGACATGTCCAGCTCTGTGATGTTCCCTCCCATCCACATGCACAACTTCTACAGCCGACCCATCACCTTTATGGTGGAGCGGAACAGCTACCCTGACTATGCAGGAGGTCAGGTGGAGTATCACCATCTCTATAGTGCCTCCAATCCCTATATCCATCCATACCACACCTGGCAGTTCCCTCCCATGGTCCCTATCCCTCTCTACAATCCCTATGCAAACTACCATCCCTATGCTGCCTGCCAGAGGTCAGATCAGTATCGAGACACGTGGCCAGAAGGCTTCACAATGAGAGGGGAGCTTCAGTGGGGGAAGCTTGGAAAGGTGTTTGGGCCAAGGAAAGACCTCCCAGAATTTGTGAAGGATGATCTCCGGAGGGTTTATGGCACCTACCCCCGGACTAATGTTTCTATATCCTATCGGAAAGGAGAGTTCTTGGTCAAGGGAGACCCCAAGACAGAAGACCAGGAATATGCAGTAGAGAAAAAGGTCATCCAGCGGGCTGTGACCCCCAGTGCCAGTGAGGCAGACGACAGCAGTGAGGACCGGAACCGTAAGAAGAAAAAGAAACTGAGACATTGAGGTAGTTAGATGCCCAATGGACTGATCTCCAGTACCCTCTTGGGAGCCAGCTGGCAGCTGTTTTTGGTGTGGCTGGCAAGTAACACAAGCAATGGATGCCACCATTCCTGTTGATTTCTTTTAATTGCTCCCTATTCTCCACAATGGGTGGATTTCCCCTTTTTGATGCACAATGATCATCCTGTGAAGAAACCACATGATACTTGACTGTTGGATCAGCTCATTGGTCCCAGTTTTGAAATGAACATTTGATTTCCACTGGTTTGGTTGACTGGTCACAGCCTGGTGGGGGATCTCCAAACTGCAGCCCTTGATCAGAGAAGATGTGTCTCTTCCTACTTTGTCCAGGGGAAGGGCCTGTAAGCTGGTTCTCTTCCTGGAGAGATAAAAGCTGAATTTCCTTCAGGCTGAGAGCTGTGCAGGTCCCAGTGGACATGGGGGTTCTCAAACACTCTAAAGAGTAATTGTCTGCATGTCTTGTCACTGCTGTTTATGACCATATCATTGTGCTTTATCACCACAGGAGGCCTGTATGCAACACTTCTCTACACTATGGTGTCCCCATCCTCTTACACTTGATAATGTGGTGCTCAGTACTCCTGGCCACATGTCCTTATTGAAACTGCTGTTGAGGCCCTGCTCTGGGTCTGACTTGGCTCTGGTAGGACGTGCTGGCTCTCCAGTGAGGTTACTGGAGTTGTTGAACCACAGCACTTCCATAGCTTGGTGGTTGTACTGGAAGAGTTGTGCTGGAAGCCTGGAGGGACTGGGTCTGACTTAATTGCAAATTTCTGTACCTTTTAAATGACTATAAACAATAAAAAAACCCCAAATGCAAATGCTTATATTTCTGATTCTTAACTACCTAATATCAGCCTCTTTTGTGAACAACTTGCAATCAGATCTGTCACCTGCTTGTGAAGTTAGGGATGGCTTCTGCTGTGGTTCATGCCCAGCCACAGTGGCTTGCTGCACTTGGCAGTACCCTGCCTTGTCCTAGTTTGTTTTCTGTCAGCTTCTCTAGGGACCAGCAGGAACTTTATATGCATACAGGAGAAATATGGGACCTTCTCTGTCCCCCTGTTGTCTCCTAGTCTCCCCTGCCCTCCCACAAGGGAGGGAATGGGATGTTACCCACCTGCATAGCAAAGGAGACTGTGAGGGTGAACTTGGAGGCCCTCGGTTGTTTCCAATTGCTATAAAGTGAAAGCAAGTGTATTTTCTTTATTTTTTTTTTTCTTCTCAGTGCAACAGATTTTAACTAATTGCCAAAATGTCTCTGCAACTGTCTGCATTTCCCCTTCCCCATTTAGCTGTTTGGAAATGTGTTAACTCTGCTGCCAGACAAAGCTGCAAGAGGGCTGACCAGAAAAACTGCTGTAGAAACCTTGGACCAAACTGATGCTCCTCGGCTGTGTTGCAAACAAGTGGGACTTGCTGAATGGGCTAGAAAAGGCCTCCATTAATAGCTGCTGGCTAATCAGTTATGCTTTTGGTTAGTATAGTATCCTAGTATAGGAAAAAGGCAGGAGTTCCTGCTGGGTTGGTTGAGGTTTTTTTTAATCTCTTCCTTGGCTGAGCAGGCTGTCCTGCCCAGTTTTAGGGATGTGCCGTTAAATGCCTGCACCAGAATTGCATTGGTGGCACACTACCTGTCCTTCCAGCAGCAGCAGCTCCTTTGGGCAGAAAACCCAAAGTTCATGCACTGGATCCCTGTGCAGTGGTGTACCTCTCAGTGGGGTGTGGGAAGGAGTTTCTTCCCTATCCCCTGGAGCTGTTGTGGGGCACAGTTGAGCTGTCAGAACCAGATGCTGCCTGCCATGGGTAGGGGCTGCTCTAGTTGAGATTCTGGAGGAGGTGCAAACCAGCTCTTCTGGGCAAGGTGAGAAGGAGCATAGGGTTTGCTATACAGTGATGTTGAAATGCCACATAAATTACAAGGACTTGCGCAATAACTCATCCTATAACTCAAGCCATTCCTTCAGCTGTTAGGTTCCTGGTGGCATGACATTGTGTTATAGTGGAAATGTACCCAAAACACTGGTAAAGGGCACAGCCAGGCTCCCCCAGAGGTATGTGATGGATGAATGAAAACAGAGCCTGCTGCCTATACAAATACTTTCTCTAAATATATCTCTACTGGGGTCATCTCCAGGGCCCACAGGGAGACAGGGTATAGCCCTTAACTTTACCCATCCTTACCTGTTTATCTTCTCTGAAGTTTTGTTTTGTTTTGCCGCTTGGACTTTGAACAGGAGATTGCTGGGCACACCCAGACTGTTCTTCTGACAATGTGTATTTTTAGTAGAGGCTCACAATTGCATGTAGTACATCAGGAGGTAGCAATGTATTTATTTTCTCAAGTACTACTTCATTTCCAGAGGGAAGAAAACATTCTATAGTTGGGCTTTTATTTCCCTTGGGGGAAGATGTGCCACAAACCTTTAGTAGCTCTCTGATAGCAGATATTTCTATGGTGGCTATGACTTGCCTCTGTCCCTAATCTGGTCTCTGTGCAGGAGCAAAGATTTACATATTCCTTGTAGGAAGAGCTCACAGTTGCCTTCTCCTTCTGGAGGTTTGAGGCTCAGTTGCTGCCCAGCTGCAGAACTGAATCCATAGGGCATTTTGAAGGCTTTAACGCCTATGGAATTCAGTTCTCAGAGCCAAGCAGCCAGTGCGAGTCAGCTTCCCCTGGCTCCAGACAGCTGTGTCTCCATCTGCAAGGGGGGAAAAAATAGCAAAGATCTTGTCATGGCTTTGACACAGGGCAGGCACTGAGCTGACACAGATTTTTGCAACTGGGAGCTGCCACAAGGAGAAGACTCTGGCACCTCTCACCCCAGAAGCAGCACAGACAGATGCAGCTTTCTTTGGAAGCTTTGCTCAAGTTGGCTGGCTCATTTTTTCCCACTGCTTCAACATACCCTGTTGTTTGGAGTCACTGCAAAGCTTCAGGTCAGCCCTGAGCTCTGCAAACCTTCTAGAGCTGTAAGAGAAACCCCATTTCTGCCACATGAGGTTGGTATTGGCAGGTGTGCTGAGAACCCCCCTATGAACTTGCTCTGTGTGCAGGTGTCACACATCCCTTGGTCTAAGGTGCTCTTCCTCAGTGTGTGTGTCTGAAAAGGGGCAAGCTGTGCCATGGGGATGCTCAGTCCTGCAAGAGCAGCCCAGCACTCCCAGGCACTGACCCTCTGCTCCATTCATACTGAAACCAATGCCCATGGGAACCCCTTGAACCAAGAAGTGCCAGCTGAGGAGAATGATTTGTGCAGCAGATGCTACCCTGGGTACACCATGAAGTGCAGGGGCTTTCTGCCTATTTGGAAGTGGGAAAGGACACATGGTAACTTTGTGTAAAAATGAAGAGTGAAAGGCCTTTTCCAGACAGCTCAGAGAGTAGATTCAGGGAGGGATTGGTCTCCATCTGGGTTAACCTGGGCCTTGCTGGTGCATCCCACAACTCTACACCTGCTCTTTGCTGCCTACTGCTCCACCCTCTGGTTTGGGTTGCAAAGCTCACACGCATGGAGGGGCAGACTTGAGGGACACATGGGGATCCCCCTGAGCACCCACAGAGATGCTGATGCTGTCAGCAGTTTCGGGCAGCCTCACCCCTCAGTAGATGTTCACTTTCAAACCTGGGGACCAAGCTAATGGCTGAAAAGCTTTTCCTTGGCTCAGCAATAGTTTGGCACAGTTGTGATGGCAGTGGCTCAGGCAGGAGTAAGCACTGGGAGAGGATTCCAGCCCTTTGCCTGTATGCCAGCAGTGCAGAAGGGCTGCCTCGGGTCAGCAGAAGAGACGGGAAATGACACACACCGCTTTGGAGCACGGGCAAAGATTTCAGTGAGGGAAGCACTGAGCAACTGTGCACGAGCAGTGAACTCCGTGATTGCTCAACTGCTGGCCCAGGGCTCTATTTTAATCCCTCCGCTGGGAACTGCAGTTCAGTTGGGGCAGCATGAATTCACCATCCTGATGCACGTAGCAAAGGAGCCAAACCCTGTTGCAAAAGCTGAGGAATCCCTGGCCGAAAGTGCCAGCTCTGGTGTATCACAGGGGCCATGTGCAGCAGTACTGCAGGGGCTGCCTGGAGGGACAGCAGTGGAGGGAGATGGAGTAAAGCAGAGATAACACAGGGTCCTCACCCTGCAGCAGGTAATCAGGGGTCAGAGAGGCACCTCAGGGACCCAGCTGTGCCTTATGCTGGTTTTCAGACCACTGTGACTTGGCACAGAATTTTCAATGTCTCTGAGCTCCTGAAACTCTGATCTCCCTCCTCCTCCTCCTGCTCTGCAGGCAGCCACTTGTGCAACTGAGTGAGCAGGAAGGCAGCCTGCCAGAGACACTGAAGCCACATGGAAGCACCTGCTGGCTTGAAAGGGTTGGTAGGGTTGGGATGCTTTGGGGCTGCTTGTTGTCCATCTCATGCCCATGGGGTGGTTACCCTGCAGTCTCTGGCTATTTGAGTGCACAGAAAGCCTTTGTATTTCATTTTTTAAGTCTTAAAACTCTCCTCTGAGGCATTTTACCTCACATTATGATGGATATCTGCTGTTCAAAGTGCCATCCATCTGCCTTCATTCCTCTGCTGCCACTGTTTTCAGAAACTGAAAGGTGCAGGCCAAGGAAAAGCTTTCCTCCTCATCTTCCCCCATGGTCTGATTTGCAAAGAAAGGGGAAGGGCTTCAAGCAGACAGGCAGGGTGAGCAGGATGGGGGTCAACACCAACAAGCCTTCCCTGATGGTTCTCCTTCCCTTACTCCATGGCCCAGGGAGGTGATGTGGGTGCTAGGGTTGAGGGGGACAGCCCAGCAGCCATCTGGCATGAATTCCCCCCATTCCCTATGCCCCATCCTCCCCAAGGTGGGGTAGGGACAGCTCCAGCATGATACATTTAGCATCCTACCTGTGGGTGCTGGGACTGAGGCACCCCACTGCCAAAATGCACCAGAAACAGTTTGATCCATGTGCAATGGAAAGCCCATGGGGGATGAGCTGGGAAAGAAACTATTCAAATGCAAACTCAGCCTAGCTTCAATTCTGATTTAATTCCTGACTACTCCTGCAAGCAATGTCCCCATTGTATCCACAGCACCCTGGATACTCTGCCTTTACTCCTTGGTTTTCCTGACACAGCTTTGTCCTGTGTTCCTTCGCCCAGGCAGGGCCAGAGCTGGATTTGGCCCTGTGTATTTGGGACTATCCCTTGCCTCTAGTGGGTCTGCACTGGAGTGGGCTGCCAGGCAATACCTGGGAGGGAAGGGATGAATGAAGATGTGGGAACCACCTTGGTGATGGGTATTTTGCTGGTATGAAGGTGCCTTGCCCTGGTCTGACCCTGTGTATTCTGGAGGCTGGGTCAGGGTCAGTCTGCAGCGCTGCACTGGGGTGACCATTGCCCCAGCTCAGCCCCGAGGGGAATTGCATCAGGGCAGCTGCCACTTTTGCAGGTGGGGGTTTCATAGCCCCAATGCAACCTGCTTCCCCTGACCCTGGAGCAGCAGCCCTTGGCTGAAAGGTTGAGAGATCCTCAAGGCTCCTAACCACAGCCCAAAATGATGGTGAGTCAAGAGACACTGCAGATAATCGGGTGCCCAGGAGGACCCTGCTGTGGGGCTTTCTCTGTGGAGCACAGCAGAAATGGCCACATGAGCAGATTTCCCCATGGCAAGCCCTGCTGGAGGCGGTGGGAGGACACAGAGAAGCAGAAGCTCACTCATGGCCAACCCTGCTACTGGAGAGCTGTGCCACAGCAGTTCAGCCCCGAGCTGCCAGAGGCATTGGCTCCTTCTGGCTTTTGCTCCCCACTCCTCCCCTCCTGCGG